CCCCGCCTGCATCCTCCGAGCCACGCTAGGGCTACAGTTACTTACAGACATGAAGACCCGAGACAGAGGGCTGCCGCGCACAGCGGGCGCGGTGGCCATATTAGAGAGTAGCTTACAGTGCGCCATGATGTGGCCCGTGCGCGAAAGCGAGGGTCGCAAACAGCGCGCGCACACAAGGAACAGGTGTACCGTATGGTGCGGTGTCAAACACAAGGCGAACTCATCCGACGAGAAATATCGATCTCGGGGACTTCCCGTTTCCCTAACATGGCACTGCACTCCTAGTTGTATCATAGCAGATGATTTTGGCGTTTCAACCCTTTCTTGCAGATACAGCGGCATCCGGGCACTCGGTGGTGCGAGCTTGGCGGGGCATGCCGGTACTGTACATGAGTGCCATCAAACATGGATCAGCGACAGCCGGCCCCGGGCTGTTGCTCAGTACTCTGTACGCTCTATGTTTAATCCTGCGTGGTTCAAAGGGCTTTTAAGAGTGATTGAGCACCAAGGACGCTGGATGTTGGCTGCTCATCCTCGTCATATTGGCGCGATGTGTCTGTGCACCCCGACGAGTGCGTCGGCGCAGAGGCACCGGTGTCCTGTGACAGCTGCACTGTTGTGGATATGTGAACAAGCAGGAGCTGACACATTGGTACCTGGCCCTCTAGGCACAAGGAGATCCCACAGGATGTGATCGCCAATCCTCGTGCGTTGTCGAGAGGTGTGAGTGATGATCGCGACGAGGGGGGTGGGGGGTGGCGGGGGCAGCGACCCGCTGCATGTGAAGTGCTGCAAGTGAAGAGGAGAGACAGGAGGCAGTTCAAGCTGTGTGGATCAGCACCATGTGCGTGATGGGGCAGTGTGTGTGGAAGCGGGCCAGCCATGTGGAGCCAAGGAAAGGCATAGCACGGGCAGGGCGGCCGCCTGAAGTCGGACCGCCTACGTGTGGGGGTGGGGGGCGGGGTTGCAGGCCAGCGCGGAAGGGACGTGGCCGGACAGGTTGGAGGAGCGGCGGCGGCGGCTGCGCAAGCGTCAGGAATGTAACAACAAACTTTGCTTACCGATGCGTCCATCCATACATCGTCGCCATGATGTGCACGCACATGCATGATGTCTGCAGCTGCTGCTCTACACTCAAGGGTGTAAGCAGCACTGCAGCTGTGGATGGAGTGCGAGTCAAGCCACAACACCAGTAAGTCGACTTCAACTTGGGCATTCCCGAATTGCGACAGCAATGAGGGACACCGATCTGGAGCGGGGGCAGGGGCCTTTTAGTAAGCGAGGTCACTCGTGTCACTCGTGCTGCACGAGCCCGCTGAGCGCAGCCCTCT